GAGAAGTTAATAGCTTATTACTATAGGATAGCTCTATAGAATATTATAAAAAGTAAACTATTCTATAGCCCCGGTTTTTCTCTTTCTAATAATATATATATTAATATAGTTTAGCTTTTATTTCAGCTACTAGAAGGGTTATAGAACCCTTACTCCCTATATTTTCTAATATTATTAAATATTTTATTAAGATTATAAAAGAGGGAAAAGAGAAACGATACCCCTTTAAAGACTTAGTACTTACTATTTAAGGTCGCTAAGATATCGACTTAAAAGAGGGGAATTATATAATACCTTAACTAAGACGTTACTAAGAACCTTTAGTAAGAAACTCTATATATATTTAAATATATAGTATTTATTAATAAAGATTATTTATATAACTATAATTAGATTATAATATTTAAGGTAATCTAATTATTAACTTAACTATAATCTATAATAATAGGATTACGATTATAAGAGTAAACTATCTAATATAGCTTTATTACTTAATTAATTTAAGATAAACGAATAAATATAAAAGGATAGATATTCTTATACTTATAGATATACTCTTTCGTATAATAATAATTAATCTAAGTCTTATTTTATATTTATTATAATAAGTATATAATACCTTATAATACTATACTATCTTAGAGTTATAACCTAAGCTTCTACTAATAGTAACCCTAACCCTCTAATAGTATTCCCCCTTCAGAAGCTACTAGGTCGTAATAGGTAGGTAAGGTATATACTAGGTATATACCCTAGGAAGTTAGAATCCTTAGGTAGGTAAAGTATATACTAGGTATATACTTTAGTTACCTTAAGAATCTAGCTCCTTAGGGCATATACTAGGTATATACTAAGTATATACTAGGTATATATATTACCTACCTTAGGAATCTAACTCCTTAGGGTATATACCTAGTATATACCTTACCTACCTTAGGAATCTAACTCTGTGGGGTATATACCTTATATATACCTTACCTACCTTAGGAATCTAACTCCTAAGGGTATATACCTAGTATATACTAATATTTATATCTTAATTCTATTCTAAGGACTTATTTAGAAAAAAAAGTCGAGTATAGTATCTACCTATATTTATACTATAGAGTTATGTAATTTGCATAAAACTATGCTAACTACCCTCCCCCCCCCCGGAGGTTTATCCGGATGAGGGGGGGTGAACTTTAGCCTCATACCTCTGAGCTGCCACCCGATAGCCCTTAGCCCCCGGACCGGCCCCCTTGCTTGGTGGCCCCCTGGCGGCTCCGCAGGGTCCCCTGACATCCATCCTGTCATCTTTGCCGAGATCCGCAATTGGGATCCGCAATTTGTCTTCTCGTCAATGCGGACTAGCTTGTTCAGGACTAAGGTTGCTCCCTAAACGGAAGAGCGCCTTGTGCATTACCAACCATGTCTGTCAGGGATCTGTCTGAAATAACCCCATCGCCCCCCGGGGCACAATAAGTCGCGCCTCTTCACTGCCGCCCCCATTTTTCACCGATATGAAGGAGTCGCGACCAGCTCGCCGAGGGCGCCCCCCACTCCAGGATAACGAGAGCCCGTCTGATGGCCTGCAGGTCAGTTGTGCACTTGAGATTCCGATTGCCAGAGGCTCACAGTTGTACGTGACCTCAGACAAAACAGCAGCGCATGCGGCTCGCCCAGCGGACATACCGCGCTCGCAAGCAGGAGGCCCAAGACCGCGCAAGAACTCAGGTTGAAAAGCTCAGCCGCGCTCTGGACGACGCTTTGTCAACCTACGCCAGTCTCCACTGGCGACTTGCCGGCAGTCTGCAGTCGCAAGACTGGTCTGGCGTTCTCTCACATCTTAACGATGCCTCGGCGCGCATAGCTGGTGTAGCGTCCAGCGTGGACAAAACCATTGCCCTGCCGCCGAGCACGGAGGGACTGGACTCTGCTTCCTCTCGAGGATGGGGGAGCTTTGCATCTCCCCAGGATACGGGAGATAATTTACCTACAGCTGTAACACATTCTCATGGCCGGATGAGTCCCTATCGTCGCCTAGCTACTCCCAGTCAGCCCGCAACGAACGCAGCGGTGGCCATGATCATACGGACCACCGCCGCGAGTCCAACCTCGGTATCAGCCCGGATCTCCCGGGCCTGCTTCCAGCGCGTGGTGGCTGTCCTGTCCGGTCCGGGGGCACCCGACTCAAAGTCCACAACCATGGCGATCCCGCTCCAGCTGCTCGGCAAGGAGGACATGCTGGCCAATTCGCTGCAGGCGCTGTCGCTCTTTCAGGCCTCCGTTGCCGACTTCCGGTACCCGTTGCACTCTGCTGCGCGGCTACCGCGCATGTACCGCGTTCAGCAGGGTGGGGCGCGGACCGTGTCTAGGGCGGCGACGCCGTTCCTGCAGCAGATTGCTAGGGGGGGGACGCGGACTGTGCTCGACACGGCATTTAAGCCGCTACAGGGGGAGTGGATGGAGGCTGTGGATGTGGAGGAGTATTTGGAGGAGAGGGGCATCTGCCTGCGAACTGCCGTGGGCAGCGGCGGGGTGCCTGCAACGGAGCCGATGCACCAGGCGACCGTCTTTGAGGCGTCCTTGGTCGATAGCCTGTCTCCGCAGATGGAGCGCGGGGGGCAAGTTCCCCCCCTTCCCCTGTCTGATGAGTTTCGCGGCCACGAGCCGGCGGATTATTCGGTGTTTGGCATCTCGGGCCCGGGGACGAGTCTGCGGCGTGCGGTTGTCCCTGTCCGACGGGGCACTGATGTCTGGGCTAACCCAGACGACGGGCGGCGGGCTTTGCAGTCGGACTTTGGTCAAGGTGACGCTGGCGCTGCTGTGGAGGGCGCCCAGATTACCGTCGACCTGGATAGACTGGTCTATCTGCTCGCGGAGAAAGCCATGTGCCTGGGCCCGGTGCCGGGAATCAGGCGGGAGGCTGTGGACGTGTGTATTCGGGGGTCTATCATTTTATGATACAACGCCATGGCCATGGATTTAGATTTTTCGCGTTCAACCTAGGTGCACAATGGAAATACTTGGGCTCAATGGAACCTTGTGAGGTTTGAGTAGACGGGAGGAGAAGAAAGGCCAGCAGGTGCACATCGAGCGTGTCTTTGAACTTGTGACTTGGTGGCAGCCCATAGCAGACTGCAAGTCGCAGACAGATGAGTTGGATCGATCAAATATATGTCAACGCTCACGCCTGAGCGACACCTCGCCTTCTTTCCCGAGCGATCATCTCTGTCGAAATTCACCGGAACTGCCAAGAGACCTGCCTAATCCTCCAAGTCTACCAACGACAAAGCTGAGCACAGCTCAGGCAATGAAGCATAAGCCAGGTACAGCGACCATCTTACAAACATGCTCTCAAATCGTCCGCCCCTCAGCCTCCAGAATCTGTCTCCGGGGCCACTCCAGCAGGACTGTCGCCTCGAAATCCCCGGCCAGCAGCCCGTCCACAGCCCTGAAAACCTACCGCGCCGAGCCGCAGAAGTACCACTGCCGCGCCTCCATCACGGGGAAGAAAACGCAGTAGTGTGCCACGAGCAGCAGCGCGGGGCCGCTCAGCGCGCGCAGCTCAAGCAGCACGCGCTCGGAGATGTCGTACTGCCAGATGAACACCATGCCGCCCTTGGACAACAACTCGGCGCAGACTTGAAAGGAGGCGGCGGCGTCGAGGTAGTCCTGGCGCCCGGGAAGTGGTCGTGACCGAGCGCGGCGGACGTGCGGGCGAGGGCCGCCAAGGTGTCGGGCGGGATACACGCCTGGCCGAGGGAGGAGAATGTGCTGTGTGGAGTGGTTAGTGACGTTGTGGTACGGCCTTGCAGCAGAACATACCTGTTTCCGAGCGGGGTCCGGATGCCGTGGTGGAGCGGTGCGGAACTCGTTCGGCAGAGGTCCTTGAGGAATGGTTGGAGGAAAGACCTCATGCCGCGAGTGACGGCGAAAAGCTCAAGTAGAGAGGAGCTAGGCTCGGAGAGAGCGTTATTGGCACACCGGGCTGGCAAGAGACAGACATATAAGACGATTATGTTAGCGAAGGAGAACACTCACTCCCAGTTGGTCTCGTTGACATGATCCAGACGGGCAGCAAAGACTTTCATGGCCAGAGGCTGATGGCAGGCGGCGACGTTCATATACTCCTCACGCCGGCTCGGGATCAGGAGCGACTTGTGGAGGGCACTGACGGCGATGAGGCAATCCATGATGAAGAGATACCGATAGCACTCTTGAGGAATGACAATCTTCCAAACCTGGCGCACGTTGTCACGGAGGGCCAGGGTGCCGGCCGTGTTCACGGAGAAGTGATGCATGGGCTCGAGCTCGTAGGCCTGGAGGGTTGACTGGGCGTCCCGCAGACCGTCGTTGGCTATGTCGAGGATGAGGAAGCTTCATGTCAGGTCCAAAGCAACTTGTAAGTTGATGCTCGAGGTGATGCCAGATTTCAGGACCTGAGGGAGGTATGAGACCGATAGAGGATCGTATATTATTTAATCGGAGGAACCAAGAAGAGAGGGCTGAGTATAGCTAGGGGATAATGATAAGAAAGTATTGAGAGGGCTTCACTGCTTATGTGAACCCTGTTTAACTGCTTTAGCTATGCCTAAAGCTCTAAATAGGTAGGTATAACAACTAAGGGCCGAACGACGGGCCGCTGGCAGCCCCGCATCAGGACGTCTAGAGGTATTAATAAGATAAGAACTACTAGAGGATAGTTACGAAATAGGATTACTAGGATTAGTAATCCTTATATAATAGATTATTAATATATTAAGATTATAGTAATCTATAATCTAATTTAATAGGATTATAATATAAGAAAAGCTATCTAATATAAGCTTATTACTTAATTAATAAAAGTATAATAAATAGGTATATAAAGAGAGGTATTCTATACTTATAGATATATTCTTTTATATAATAATACTCTATCTAAGTCTTACTTTATATTTATTATAATAAATACGTAATACTTTATAATATTATACTATCTTAGATTTATAACCTAAGCTTCTATTAATAGTAACTTTTACCCCTTCTAATAATTTTCCCCTTTAAAAACTATTAAATTATAATATTTTAATTACTCTTATTTAATAGATTTACTTTATAATACTAAGAAATATTTATTAAAAGAATAATATTACTTAACTCTATTAATAATATTAATAACTCTATATAGAACTTAATAATTATATTCCAAGAACTTAAAGCTAAAAATAAGTAATTTAAGGCTAAACTTCTATAATTATAAAGAAGGTCTTAAAGGTTAAAATCCTTAACCCTTAAACTATTAATAGTAAACTTAATTAACTCTAGTATATATATATAGTAAGTAGACTAGTATAGTAAGTAGACTACCTTACCTTAACCTAATAAATATTCTAACCTAGAATTAAATAAAAGAATAGGAAATTAATTAAAATTATATTTTATTACTATATTTAGAAGATAATATAATAATTTAATAAGTTCTTATATTATAGTTAGTATTTCTATAAGTATTATAAATCCGTTTCTTTAATATAGCTTAAGTTATATAATTTAGATTATACTTTATTTCCTCTTTTATTTAAATATCTACCTCCTTCTAGGTAATCTAGTCTTATCTATTACCTAGAGTTATACTCCCTCCTTCTATAAAATAGACTTTTTTAATTCTCTAATATTAATTAAGGATAATATTCTCGCTTTTAAGTATCTTAAGCTTTATATCTATTAGGATAAATTAATATATTATCTTATTTATATTCTTTATTAATTAATTAATAGTTTAAAGTATTAATATTAATAAACTTCTTTAATATTAAGAAATATAATTCTTAATAAATTCGAATTATAAAATAGCTTTAATCGGGTTTATAGGAGTTTTATATATTTTTAGCTTAAGGAGTCTAGAAGACGTTTTTAATAGTATTAATATCTTTAACTTTATACTTAATTTTAAAAGGATTACTTCTAATTATAAAGAGTAAATTTAACCTTTTAAAAACCTTTTTTATTATAAGGGCTTTACTACTTATATAAACCCTAATTTATTACTTTAGCTATACCTAAGAGC